TTTTGAGTTGGAGTCTCACTCTCTCACCCAGACTGGAGTGCAGTGGCCGCTCCCGGCCACTGCAGCCTCAATCTGTGGGCTCCAGCAATCCTTCCGCCTCAGCCTTCCAAGTAGCTGGAACTGCAGGCGCGCACTACCATACCCGGCTCATTTTGATTTGTTGTAGAGATGAGGTCTCGCCAAGTTGCCCAGGCGGGTCTCGAACCCGGCAATCCAGTCACCTCAGCCTCCCAAAGGCGTGAGAACCCGTCTAGTTTTTAAATTTTTTTGTAGAGATGAGGTCTCGCTATGTTGTCCAGGCTGGTCTGGAATTGTGGGTTCAAGTGATTCTCCTGCTTTGGCCTCCTAAAGTGCTGAGACTACAGGCGTGAGGCACCGCACCAGGTTGACCTTTCCACATCTTGCGGTGCCAAGGGAAGATGCCCATCTTGGGGCCAGCGCTGAGCTCTGTGGTCCTGCCCAGGTCCAATCGTTCTGTTTCTTCTCTGTGGACCCCCAGGTGAAGTCGCGGGGGCTGGTGCGGCCAGCGTCATGTCCGCCCTGACTGACAAGGCCATCGTGAAGAAGGAACTGCTGTACGATGTGGCCGGGAGAGACAAGTACCAGGTCAACAACAAACACGATGACAAGTACTCACCGCTGCCTCCCAGCAAAATCGTCCAGCGTGCGGAGGCGCTGGTGGGGCAGGAGGTCCTCTACAAGCTGACCAGCGAGAACTGCGAACACTTCGTCAACGAGCTGCGCTACGGGGTTGCCCGCAGTGATCAGGTGCATCCCCAGCCGGTGTCCCCTTCCCCAGGATCCAGACCGTTTCCTCACCTGGCAGCAGCATGGGTGTGGGGCACGATAGAGGCATGAGCGAGATGAAACAGAGACAGAATTCCTGCCCCTGAGGGTGCCACCTTTGGGTGGGGACGAGGGTGGAGAGGGAGACAGGCCATTGGGCTAATGCAGATCAATGTGGCTGGGGGGCCTGGAAGGAGGTCACAGACACGATCATCACCCCCGTCGACGTGTCCATGGCGGCCCAGCCCGAGATGGTCCGCCTCAACCCTAGAAGTAGGTTTTCTATTTCTTTTTTTGAGTTGCAGTCTCACTCTGTCACCCAGGCTGGAGTGCAGTGGCACACTCACGGCCACCCTAGTGTTGACCTTCTGGGCTCCGGCAACCCTTCCTTCTCAGCCTTCCAAGTAGCCGGAACTATAGGCACATACTATCATGCCCAGTTAATTTTTGACATATTGTAGAAACAAGGTCTCACCAAGTTGCCTGGGCTGGTCTTGAACCTGCGGGCTTAGGCAATCCACTCACCTTGGCCTCCCAAAGCGCTGGGATTAAAGGCTAAGCCACCAAGCCCAGCCTCTTCTTTCTTTCCTTTCTTTGTTCATCCGTTGAGGTCTCACTCTGTTGCCCAAGCTGGAGTGCAGTGGAACGATCATGGTTCACTGCAGCCTCAACCTCCTGGGCTCAAGTGACCTCCTGCCTTTGCCTCCTGAGTAGCTGGGACTACATGTAAGCACCACCACACCTGGCTAATTTTTTGTGTTTTTAAATTTTCGTGGAGACTGGGTCTAGCAATGTTGTTAGACTGGTCTCAAACTCCTGGGCCCCAGCCATTCTCCTGCCTCGGCCTCCCAAGTGCTGGGATGACAGGCGTGAGCCACCACTTTATAGATTAGGAAACGGAGGCTCACAGAGTTTAAGTGACTACTTTACTTCCATTCATTTCATCAAACAAAACTTTGTTAGGTCTGCAGACCTGGCGCCCTTCTGTTCTTGTGCGGAGGTGGGATTTGCTGCCTGGGTCTGTGTGACACAGCCTGGTGGTGCTTGCAGACAGCACTGTCCTCAGTCCTGTTGAACCCCAAGGATGAATCCTGGAGACCCCTGGGGATGCAACTTTATTCGCCCACTTGGTTTGATTTTGGCCACTGCCCCTCTCTTCTCGGAATCTCCTTTTCTCTCCCCATTGTTTTTGACTTTCTCTCCTACTTTTATTCCCCTACTTCACTTTTTTTTGGTAAGAACATTATTACATTATTATTATTATTGGTGAATTCTTATTACATGGCTGTTGACACAAAAGAATATGGTTTTGTCCCCACCAAATGATGAGGTTAAGATCTGTCAGGTTGTTTACTTTTATTACATTTTTATTTTTTTATTTTTATTTTTGAGTTGGAGTCTCACTCTGTCACCCAGACTGGAGTGCAGTGACCGCTCCTGGCCACCGCAGCCTCGACCTGCTGGGCTCCGGCGATCCTTCCGCCTCAGCCTTCCGGGTAGCTGGAACTACAGGCATGCGCTACCACGCCCGGCTAGTTTTTGATTTATTGTAGAGACGAGGTCTTGCCAAGTTGCCCAGGCGGATCTCGAACCTGCGGGCTCAGGCAATCCATTCCCCTTGGCCTCCCAAAGTGCTGGAATTACAGGCTGAGCCACTGAGCCCGGCCGAGAGGAACTTTATTATCACCTGTATATTGTCAGGCTTTTTTTTTTTTTTGAGTCAGAGTCTCACTCCACCACCCAGGCTGGAGTGCAGTGGCACAGTCATGGCCACCACAGCCTCGATCTGCTGGCCTCAAGCTATCCTTCCACCTCAGCCTTCCAAGTAGCTGGGACTATAGGTGCGCGCCACCACACAAGGCTGATTTTTAAATTTTTTTGTAGAGATGAGGTCTCATCTTGTTGCCCAGGCTGGTCTTGAACTCCTGGGCTCAAGCAGTTCTCTTGCCTCAGCCTCCTGTAGTGCTGGGATTGCAGGTGTGAGTCAACGTGACTGGCCTGAATATTGTCAGGTTCAAAAGACAATGCAATGAAGGAAGGAATCTGGGGTGTGATGGCACTTGTTAGCACATCGTCCCTTGTGGATAATGGCCTTCAAAACACTTGTCTCTTGAGTCACACCTGATGGCGCAGGGCTGTCATCCTGGTTTCTCCCTTTTCTGGCACCCTAGAGATTCCTTTCAGTTCTCGCCTGAGTTGATGCCTTTATCCTCTGTGGCTCACATCTTTCCCTTGTTTTGGTTTACTCTCTTGTTTTGGTGAACTACTTCCCCCAATATTTTACTGAGATATACTACTTTTCTTTTTCTGAGTTACAGTCTCACTCTGTCGCCCAGGCTGGAGTGCTGTGACACACTCATGGCGTTGACATACTGGGCTCTGGCGATCCTTCCACCTCAGTTTTCCAAGTAGCTGGAACTACAGGCACACGCTACCTCACCCGGCTAATTTTTGATCTATTATAGAGATGAGGTCTCACCAAGTTCCCCAGGCTGGTCTTGAACCCGTGGTCTCAGGCAATCCACTCGCCTCAGCCTCCCAAAGTGCTGGGATGACAGGCTGAGCCACTGAATCCGGCTGACATAGTCCATTTTAAAAAGACCTCACATGCCTAAAATGTCTTCCTTTTATCCTCACATTTGATTGAGAGTTTGAATGGATATAGAATTCTAGGTTGGAAAAAATGTTTTTCAGAATTTTGAAGGCATTGCTTTATTTTCATCTAGCTTTTGCTGTTGTGGTAGAGAAATCTAAAACGGTTCTCATTTTTTATCCTTTGTGTGTGGTTTATTTATGTTTTCCAGAAGCTTATAGAATCTTCTCTTTATCCTCAGTGCTCTGAAATTTTACTGTGATATCCCTGATGTGTGGTCTGTTTTTATGTATCGTGCCAAGGCACTCGGTTACTCCTTTCCATCTAGAAACTCACTTCCTTTGATTCTGGGAAGTTTTCCATTTTGTCTTCTCTGGAACATTGATTGTTAGGCTGTTAGACCCCTAGACTGCTCCTCTGATTTTCTTTTTTTTTTTAGTTGGAGTCTCACTCTGTCGCCCAGACTGGAGTGCAGTGGCTGCTCCCGGCCACCGCAGCCTCGACCTGCTGGGCTCTGGCGATCCTTCCGCCTCAGCCTTCCAAGTAGCCGGAATTACAGGCACGCGCTACCACGCCCAGCTGATTTTTTGATTTATTGTAGAGATGAGGTCTCGCTGCCCAGGCGGGTCTCGAACTCGCGGGCTCAGGCAGTCCACTCACCTCAGCCTCCCAAAGGCGCGGGATTACAGGCTGAGCCACTGAGCCCGGCTTTCCTCTGATTTTCTTATCTTCTCTTTCCTGTATTCCATTTATTTATGTTTTTATAGTTGAAAACTAACATTCATTGCTAGATTTAGGTATAAAAGAAGTTTTTTTAAAAGAACATTGACAACATAAAAAAGAGACTTAAGCTAAACAAAATCTGATTTTATCATTGGTGATATTATGTCACATTTGAGGTTCTTACTCACCCATAGTGTTTATTACTTCAGGTAAATTTTTATACACCTCTGTAGCAATAAACACCTAAATAGATTGCAGTACAACCTTAGGAAGCAATAAGATACTCTGTGAAATTCGGGCTATCAGACTGGGTGTGGTGGCTCATGCCTATAATCCTAGCACTTTGGGAGGCAAAAGTGAGAGGATTGCTTAAGCCCAGGAGTTTGAGACTAGCCTAAGCAACATAGTGAGACCTCATCTTCACCAAAAAAAAAATAAAAATAAAATAAGTAAAATTAGTTGAACATGGTGACACGCACCTGTAGTCCCAGCTACTCAGGAGGCTGAGGCAGGACTGCCTGAACCCAGGAGATCAAGGCTGTGGTGAACTGTGATCATGCCACTGCACTCCAATCTGGGCGACAGAGTGAGGCTCTGAATCCAGAAAAAGAAAAAAGGAATAATTGAGGATGTCACATTTAGAGTATTTGGTAGGTTTACAAAATATATTCTAATCATCTCATTTTAGTTATTCTTTCAGCGGTTATTAGTAACACAAAGAACAGACCCCAAGTTTATAAGAATTTTGTATCTCTTCACATGGCTCTTTGCGCTATGATTGCCATGTTTCCTAGCTTTGGCCCCCTCCCCTAATTTGGGGAGGTGAATCGCCTCACTCTAATTTACTTTCTAATAAACTATTTTCCAATCTAAAAAACTTTTCGCTGGGCTTGGTGGCTCAACCTGTAATCCCGTGCCTTTGGGAGGCTGAGGTGAATGGATTGCCTGAGCCCGTGGGTTCGAGACCCTCCTGGGCATCGAGACCTCATCTCTATAATAAATAAAAAATTCTGCAGGTGTGGTAGTGCGCGCCTGTAGTTCCGGCTACTCGGAAGGCAGAGGCAGGAGGATCGCCGGAGCCCAGCAAGTCGAGGCTGCGGTGGCCGGGAGCGGCCACTGCACTCCAGTCTGGGCGACAGAGTGAGGCTCCAACTCAAACAAACAAACAAACAAACAAACAAATTTTCTTATATCAAGACAAAATTATTACATAATTTAGTAAAATACATTGTCATTAAGCACAATGTTATTTAGAATTAAATAAAATTCCAAATCTTAGTGAAATAACTGAGAAAAAAACCTTTTCTATTATTTACTCTTTTGCAAACAGTAATTCAATTCTTCAAATTAGACACATCACATCTTTCTTCTGTATTTTTAGTGCTGTGTGCGCACCTGCCCATTCTCTTGAAAAAGGCAACACGGACAACCCCCTGGGTCCCCTCCTATTCTGGGAGCTTTTCTGTCCTTTCATTAAATCCTGTTTTCCAAAAAAAAAAGAAAAAGAAAAGAAAAAGGCAATACAGTAACAGCACAACACTGAAACAGCATGAACCATCCTACTTGACCTCATCACAGAAAATGAAACCAGAATATTCGATGAAACAGAAGATGCCATCTTAATGGTTTCTAAAGATTTCCGCCTTTATTTCATGGTCTGCCATGG